ATCATGGGTATTGAGAAGAGTTGCTACATAGATGCCATTAGTAATTGTTGATTCTCCCTTGGCCCAAGTTGTCATGTAAGTCCGTCCTAAGATGATGGAGTCCTTTAACTTGCCAAATCCTAGCTGTTGGAAGTCCACAACAAGGAAATTTAGCATGGAAACCACTCCTTGCACCAAGATCTTGACATTTTAACAGATGCTTGTAGGGACAATTCAGTGATTGGCAAACATTTTGAGGATGACAATTGTGTTTCTCACCACTTCCAAGCCACTAAATGTGCCAAGTTGAGGGAGATGATGTTGCTCTAGGATCTAGAATCAAGTAATGCTTGTGTTGTCAAAGATCTATCGCTGATGTGGACCTCCACAAAGAATGCTTTGGGATCATGAGTGGTCTGAGTGTTGATGATGTACATGTCATGCTGATGTTCCACAGAAATGCCTGTGGACTTGGCAAAAGCCTTCAGCTAAGGAGTAAAACCGGGTACATATTGCAAAAACTCACCAAGTATGATCTAGACTAGTGTGTCAACAATCTATGCAAGAACCTCTTGTGGGACTCGAGATAATTGTCAACCTCAATTACTAATGGCATCTATGTAGCAACTCTTCTCAATACCCATGATCATTCTCTACTTCCATCTAGCTTGTCTTAAGTGGATGCTTCTTCTATCATTAAAGTTGTCTAGGCTCTCAAGGTTTTTTTCACCCACATTGAAAGTTGGATGAATATCTGGTTGTTGGATTTGAAGTTGTGGCCAAGGATGTGGGTGGCGCTGCAAATACCGAAGCATGGGGTAATTTGCATGCCATGAGAGATGGGGAAGTTCTGAAAACTAGAGCTGGATCCTGCTCACCATCAATATTTCGGGCTAAAGGAGAAACCTTCTTGTGCCCTTGAGTCATAGCAGCCATTTTATAACCGTCCTCTACAACATAAACTATGTTGACGTGCATTGGTGTCTTTCCACAGCTCGACAAAGGGGTGTCTTCAATCGCTTTCTACTCCAGTTGTTGCTGGTATCTATCTCTAGCCATGGAAGAAATATGTTGTCTGCTAGAAGTTGCTGTTGAACATGCTGGACAGAAGGTGGTCGAAGTTCTAAGTGAAGCTTCCAACATCTCTCTATGCTGTGCGTCATAACATCATAATGCGAGTAAGTACCAAGAACGAGGAGGGAATCTTAGTCTCTTTGCCTACTGTAAGTGGCATACTCTAAGCTCCTCAAGTAGCTTCTCTTGCATTTATCACTGTTGCTAGATGATCTCCTTGTATCTTGCAAGCTCTGATAATGCCTTCTCAATCATTGAGGGAACTCTATCATCACTGTGCAAGGCTAGAGAAGAATGGATCATGGTAGCACGATCATGGTATCAATAATGGATCAACCTTAAGTCCAATCTAACCTGAGGAGGGGGATTAGGAGAAAATTTATAAATCTGTAGATGGATGGTTAACACTTCATTACTCATGCAGTAAGTAGTTAAATCCAAGTAGAACCAAGTAGGAGATGGTATAATAAGTGGGGACCTTGGCAAGGGAACTTAATTAATGCCAAGGCAAAGGTGGTCGAATAGAAAAGGTAAGTTGGCAAATTAGAAAAAAAATATTTATGGCTTATATCAAACTCCAAACCCTTTGTGCAACAAAATGAAGATTTGGTACGCACTTAATATCTTTTACGAACACTAACTCCCCATATCCAACTTTTGCATGTAAAATAGTATTAGATGGTGTTTAGCCCAATTCTGGCATACTGGTGGCCTATAACAAAAAGATGGATACCCCACTGACTAAAGCAACATGGAACTTGAGATTATTCCTAAGCTAGATGCAGAATCATGGCAATACAACTTAGCAGGAGCCAAATTAATATTTTAGATGGTCAACAATGCTTCCAAATACTATCTTTATTATACATTTAGAACCCCCCACAACCCCTCATCCCTCACCCTAGAAAAATGTATGCTTTTAGGCTTTCACCCCAATCTCAAGAACTAGTTTATGGGATTTGAAAATTTACTAGATATGGAATAGAACTAAATTGTGAATTGGGATGTAGGAACAACACTATGGTAGTCTCTAAATTCCATAGATATGCCTTTTAGATAAATTTAACCACTTACTATAAATAGCACAAAGGACTGAATGGAACTAATACATAAGGTATGATAGTGAGGCTGTTTGGTGCACACAATAAGCTATCATAAAGCATTATTGAGGAACTATACTCAACATATGAGTGTTCTTGTCTTTAGCTAGTGCAACATATAACACATTTAGCTAATAATATATAAAAAAATTTCATCCTTATGCTTGTTTAGTTTAAGTATACTTAAGATGTCCAATTAACTCCACGAGCATAAGAGGAAACAATAATAAAGTGGTGCAACTGTATCGACCTTTATGGCAGAAGAGAGAGTGTCCAAAAGTACTGGTTAACAAGTATTTTTTGATACATGAAGCCACATTTATGATATTTTACAATATATGCCCAATGTACATGATAGAATGATGCTAATTAGGCATAATTATGCTAATTGTGAAATTTTGGAATTTGGTGAATATAAAGTTCTACTTGGACTTTTAATACAAAAAAATACACTAAGAATATTAGGAAATCCTCTTGATTGGAACTTTGGACACATCTAGAAGGATTTTTGTTGAGAAGAAACAAATTAATATCCTTGCAAGGACTTTATATTGCCAAAGTAACCTAGTGTTCTGGAAATTCTAGCATCTTTGTCAAGCTCTTCTAGTCAAGCTGGTAAGACTCACTAGTCTATTGGTATTTAGAAGTGCCCTTATAATAAAGTTGGTTGGGCTCACTAGTCCTTTAGGGGGTTTTTTCTAAAATCTAAGAGCATTCGATTCCTCATGATTGTCAAGAGTCTATAATAGAAGCATGTGATTTTTAACTCTATGACTTTCTTTTAGCCAATTCACCAAATTCACCTAGGTGTTAGGACCAAACATTACACAATAAATAAAATATTGAACACATGCCATCTACAAGATCTCTTCTAGTTATGATGTCTATAGGCAAAACTTTAAAACTATAGTTAAAATATAAAGAACAAAGAAGCAATTAAAAACACAAAGGCTTTGATTTTCTTACTTTCCCAAACATTTCAATCAGCAATGTTAATCTAACTTTTCTTTGATCCCTTGGGCAGTTTTCCACCATAAAGGATCAAAGGACAATAGTATTATTGATGGGAGAGGGAAAGAAAATACAAAAGAAAGCCTTAGGAAAAGTAAAGAATAATTGAGTAAGTGAGTGTTGTGATGGAAAGTAATAAGTTTTAATCTTTAGGCAGTAGTTCTTCTTTGTACTCACTCATGTTGGTGTTGTTGGAGTTTTTGCTTCACATAAATATCCTATTTAAATACTATGACTTATTAAAGAATTAAAAAACTATATCTTTAATCTAATTTTAAATCCATTTTTATTTATTTAAAATATAAATTTTTTATTACTTTTATTGTAACAATTACTATAAAGTTTTTGACATTAATTGGTATATTGAGAATTTTAAAATATCATTATTTTAATATTTTTTAGATAAAATATATATTATTATCAGCTAATGCAATTGTAAAAAATTTAGTAGTTGTATACCAGTCTGGTGTTATACTTTAAGAATACCTTTATATTGTGTGTGTGTGTGTAACTAAATATATATATTAAATTATAATATTTTCTCAAGAAACATAAAATAGTGAAACTAATAAAACTTTATTACAAATAAAAATTTGCTTTAAATATTAGCATTCTTGATTTCATAGATTTTAAGAACCCATAAAAATATAAACTTGCAACATAATAACTAAATAAAGGAAAATGTCAAAGGCCAAATGTAAAGAGTAAAAAGAATCAATTAATAATCAAATTTCTACTTGGATTACAATTCTCAATTTAATCAGTATTTAGTAGGAACTTTTATTTATAATAACCAAACGAAGACAAGTGTTTCTACTTATCAATTTCCTATACAAGAGTATCTAAAAGAGTGCTTGTGTGTGGAGGCTGGTAAAATGTTGCAATGCTGATCTATCTATCAAACTGCAAGAAATTGCAGAGGTGAAGGGAAGTCTCTTGCCAATTGTTACAAGTGCGATGGCCCTTAGACTCTCGTTCACGATTTGAAGCTTTCTTTGATGCTCATGAACAGCAATCTTACAAGTTTGATTGGTGGCGACGTGCAGAAATTTAGTTTTTTTCCCATACAATGGTAACAACTTTGACTGTCTGGAAAGCCTTTTCATCCGCTTATGACCTTCTAGACCAAGTCAAATGGCTTTATACCATATGGAACAACTGGAGGTGCGTACATACTAGCTCCTGAGTTCTTGCTCTAACGTGGTGTCGTGGTGTCGTGTGCCTGGGTGCCTAGAAAGTCGAACACCTTCGCTATCACCATCGTTACCCCACAGTCCAGCAGGAGATTTAAGGCAAAGCGTCCTTTATCAACGTGCACGTCTTCAAAGGCTTTGGAATTCTTCTAGTCTCATGTGATTTTGCTTTTTCCCAGAACCACTGGAGGTTCTTGTTAATAGTATGACTCTCATCATTGTTTTTTCTTGTTTCGTTCTTTTTATTTCACAGGTGGAGCTGCTAAATTCCCAGTGGATTGAAGATCGTTCATTTGGTCGGGTCGGTTCAAATTTACATGCTATGTGATGGTAATGCGTCTGGAGCAAACTATGTAAGATCTTATTTTCCTCAGCTGGATTTGTTTTTCCATTTTCTAATCAAGTTACGGGGACAAACTGATCAGGAATCCTTGCAAACGTACAAGAAGATCCACGATGTTAGAGACAAGTCTACAGATTGCAAATATTCTGTTTTTCTTGGTAAAGTTCACGAGTTTTTCGGGGGATGCCTTGCCAAGCGGCTGCGCCGCAAGCCCTAGCGTGCTCTAGGTATCATCTTGTTGCTAGGATCAAAGTCGGATCTCGGACCTTTCAGAGATTCAAACATTATGAATTTGAACATTAAATCATCGTTTTTACAGCTAAATCAAAGAAAATGATATGAAAAAAACTATCACGAGTCTGAACTATTCCGCTGCTCACTGCTCTTTAGCTGCTTCCACTTTTCCTTTTGAAGCTGCTGCCCCTGCTTGGTTTAAGAAATTTTTCGTCTTTAAGCTGCTCAATCTTTGCTGCTCGATCTTAGCTGTTTCAGCCTGCTCCCTTTCTCTCCAAGTTTTAAAATCATCTTACAGTTTTCCATTCCCACTTGCTCGATTCTTATGATCTCTGACGCTGGTTTTATCTTTCGCTGCTTCAAGTCCTGCTCCACCCTCATTTACATATTCTTCTGGCGGCCTCCTATGATCTGGACCAAGTTGGCAGTCAGACTATTTTCCAAATAGAAAAGAAACATAATCTCTCAACTCACAAGTTGGCCAGAATAAGCAGCTCCTTAGCGTAGTCTCTGAGATGTTTTATTTATTTAGTCTCGAAGAGACGGCCTCCAACGATCTGGACCAAGTTGGAGCTCAGAAGATATTCCACCAGAGGAGAAAATTAAAAAACAAAAAAATACCATAGGATTTGTTGCTGATACTAAAGGAGCTACCATCACAATTTGTGTGTCGCTGCAGCTTGCTTCTTCTGTTTAACAACACGGATGAAATGAATGGAAGAGGAAAAAACGAATGACTCTACGTACCCTCGGTCCACATTTCTCGATTGTAAAGGTGGCCATTGAACCTCTGAATCGCTTTGCACCAGCTTCCACGTTCCATGAAACTCGTCCGATCTTCTGTCTTTATGACTCTAGCTTCGTCTTAGAGTTCGCTCCAGCTCTTGTAGTCTCCGCATGTCAGGGGCGAACATCAGCCGTTTTTCAGTCTTTGTGAAGCCGAACCTCTGGCTCCGCCGCCACAAGCAGTTTCTTCGAGTTCGAGATCATCTTGCCATCATCATCTTCTATCATCCAAGCACCTGTAAGAGTGATCCTGGACAGCATTGAAGCTCTCGTCCCGTTTCCGTCAACTAGAGAGCTTTGTCTTTGATCCGTCTTGGCATCTCATCTTCTCCTTCATCTCGCTGTTCTCACGCCAACGTTTGATGGACTCTTCTCCACTCGGCTGGCTGACTGCTCCGATCTCGGCCACTGTCTCGGCGAGCTCCGCTTGAGAAGCCCAGATCTTGACAAAATTATCTGCTATCTCCCGATTGATCAAGATATCTCCGAAACTTTGGAGTCGAGGGAGGATATCTCCTCGAAGAGGTTGATCTTCTCTTGACTTAGAAGTGTGGAGACTGGTCTCTGGCGCTTTGGAGGCTTGCTACTGCTTCCCTGTGCTGCTCGAGCTGTCAGTACTTGGCTTGCACCTCTGTTCTGTATTTGACTCTCGAGAGCTGGTTACTTCTTGAACTTCCATTCTCGTTTCTTCGACGTGCTTAGAACCTCTGGCAGTTAGGGAATGCTTCCGCCACTTCAGGCCTTGATCGTGCTGAGAAGCTTGAGCGGAAGCATGCAAAAACACAGCTTCCTGCGAAGCCAGATGCTCCTTCTTGTCGCATGTAGCGTCCATCTGATCCGTCAAACCTCTGCTCTCACATCGGTTCTCCTCGGCTTGTCTTCTTCATCCTTCAGAGCTCCTCGCCCAAAGCTTTGCTTTGCATCTGGCACGTCTCTCTCTCCTCCAGCGCCTCGAGTCCCGTGATCCTCTCCATCAGCTGCCAGTTACTTGCTTCTCCAGCCTCGCCTTTGCGCTTCCAAACTCCGCCATCACGTGCTCTCGCCGAGAGCTCCACCTCGTGCAGCGGATTCGACTCCGTCAGCCATTATCCCCTGGGGCTTCTCCTTCAAGAACTTCTGTCCGAACACTTCCCTCATTCCACCAGATGACAGAGAACGTCTAGCGTAGTCTGTCTTATAGTCTCTGCAGCCATCCGAAACCCCAGTCACGAGGAGCTTCAGCTATATCGTCTTCTCGCCATCTTGCAGCCATCTGACACTGGTTTACGTCGTTCCTCGCTACTATCATGGACAGCCTTACCGCAGCAGGCGCTCCTGAATCATCTCCGTCCACTGGAAAGCCGAGAAGATAGATCCCTCCTTGCTCCAGACACTGTAGAGTGTAGCCCAACTTGATCCATTGATCTTCTCTTGACTTAGAAGAGTGTGGAGGCGGGCTAGCCTGTTTAGATGCCGAAGTTTGATGGACTCTGCTGCACTTCCAGCCGACTGCTCCGCCTGGAGCCTCGTCAACCGCCGCTTTCGACTCTCCATCTCGGCCACCATCTTCCGAAACTTTCAATTCCAGTCGTTGATCTTCCCTCGACTTAGAGTGTGGAGACTGGTCTTTAGCTCAGACTTGACGCTTTAGTGACCTGCTACTGTGGTGCTCGACTTGCTTGGATATTTGGCCACAGCTCCGAGTTTTCCCGCTCCAACTTTTGGATTTGATTTCCCTTGAAGCAATCTGACACTGAGTTCTTTGCTGATACTTTCATCCGAGCAGCTGTACGAGCATTCCTGGACAGCCCTGACCCGTTTTCAAAGTCTCTGTCAACTAGAGAGCTCTACCAGATGACAGAGAACGTCGAGTGTAGTCTGTCTTATAGTCTCTGCAGCCCTCTCTGTGAATCCGAATACCCCCACCGTCACGAGCAGCTTCAGCCGTATCATATTCTCGCCATCACCATCTCGTTGCAGTCGTTCCCTTGCTACTATTCCTTCAAGCTGTGAACATTATACCGCAGCAGTATCTCCTGTCTCATCTCCGTCGACTGGAAAGCTGATAAGATAGATCTCTCCTTGCTCCAGACACTGTAGAGTGTAGTCAAACTTGATCCATTGATCTTCTCTTGACTTAGAAGAGTGTGGAGGCTGGTCGCTGGCCTGTTTAGACGCCTGAAGTGTGATGGACTTCTCCGCCTGGAGCCCTGAGACACGGTTGTCACGCACTGCTTTCACGTCTTGGACAGTTGCAAATCTTTGGAGTCGAGTCCTCGAGAAGGTCGATCTTCTCTCGACTTAACTGGTCTATAGCTTTAGTGGCCTCCTCCTGTGCTGCTCAACTTGCTTGGAGATCCAACTTCTGGATTTGACTCTTGAGAGTTGGCTTCTCCGATGCTAGAGTCCGAGCACTGGCCTCCAGTTGACCAATCCTTGCAGCCAACTTCTCGAGCTCGGAGCCAACTTCATTTCTCGTTTCTTCGACGTGCTTAGAACAGTTTGCTCGTGTTCTCTTCTCAGGTAAACCCAGGGTCTAGTCGTCTTAGAGTTCGCTCCAGCCCGGCCGATCATCTTCTCGCCATCATGGTTCCGACAAAACAAACACTCATCGTTCACTTCAGCTCTCTACAACAAACACGGAAGTTATGGCCATCTGGAATCTGGAAGGTATATCAAACTTACCTGTCTCCTCTTGAATTCTGCAACAAAATCTCTCCCCGCACGATCATATAGTTCTTTTGCCTCCTTCACGAAGACCACCTCGCCGGACTGAAGCTTCTTCCACGGTTTCCTCTCACTCGGGATCCTATCCAGCATTTTCTGGAGCCTCATCATCTTCCGCGCTCGCTTGATCCTCTCTCGGTCGCTGGATTTGCCGTTGAGCTCCTCGTAAAGCTGCTCGGTGAGTCTGATCAGAATCCGGAGCGCGCTAACACTCCAAGACTTTTCCTCGTGCTTCTCCTCTTCTGTTTCCTCGCGCTTTTCCTCTTCCAAGCTGCGGATCTTCTTCTCGGTTTTTCCCCTCTGGTTTAGCCACCGGTTTGCCTTGTGGAAAGCTTCGAGATACGCGAACTCAACATAGCCCCCTCGGCCATCGCTAAGATGGGTTTCACTCCGCCGTCGGGTGCCGTCGGGAAGAATGTCCTCCGCTGAGGAAGAGAAGCGAACCATCTTCGGCCTGGAACCTGCAAGTCCAGAAGGCCATCGTGAGTCACAGTAGAAGAAGAATGCGAGAAGCAAAAGGAACCATACCTGGACGACGACCCCCGGCTGGCAGTAGAATTGGCTTGGGTCGCTGCTCCTCCTGCTTGGGTTTGTCATTCTCCTGCTGCTTCATCTTCTCTTGATCGTCTTCCCGTTCCAGAGGCTGCTTGATCGGCTTGATCATCTGCTCCTCCTCTTGTTCCAGCTGCTGCTTCATCGGCTTCATCCGCTGCTCCTCCTCCTGTTCCTGCTCTTGCTTCATCGGCTTGATCGGCTTGATCGGCTGATTCGGCTGATTCTTCTCCTCTCGTTCCAGCTGCGGCTGCTCCTTGTGACCTTGCTCCTGTTTCACCTCGCGCCTGAGTTCCTTCGTCTCATGGGCTTCTTTCTCCTGCTCCTCCTCGCTCAGCTGCTCAGCTTTCTTCTCTTGCTCCTCCTCCTTCAGCTGCTTCTCGGCTTCCTTTTCCTCCTCTTGTTCCAGCTTCATCGGCTTCATCTGATCGGCTTCTTTCTCCTCCTCGTTCACCTGCTCGGCTGTCTTCTCTTCCTTCAGCTGCTCCGCTTTCTTCTCTTGATTCTCCTCTTCGTCCTCTTTCTCTTGTTCCGGCTTGATCGGCTTGATCGGCTCCTTGTGCCCTCGCTCCTGTCGTATCGCTTCTAAGACGATTTTCACCTCGTGCCTGAGTTCCTTCAACTTCAAGGCGGCGGCGTCCATGGCTTCTCCCGAGACGGCCTCACAGACACGATCTTGGACCTTCAGCTTCGAGGCCGCCGCGTCCATGGCTTCCGGGTGGACCTTGTTGTCGCCCTTGTGCGCCTTTTTTGGTCGAAAGAGAGACCACAAACCTGTGACGCATCCACTGCGCTCCTGCTCTGTTCGCGCCATAGCTTGCCCTTTGCAAAATGCCTTTAATGCCCTAACCCTTACTAAATCTATTTCACTTTAATGCGTTCGTTTACATTTCTCGGCAGTGACTTAGGCAGCGCCCTGGCTCTTGAAACTCAGGCACGCTGGAACCAGCTCACAGGCTGCATCCCAGAAGATGTTTACACACTCTCATCTCTCAATATCTAGACTTGAGTCTGGAACAAGTCCCTGGAGCTGGTTTCTAATGCTTCCAGCTTGAGAGTGCTGATCAAACCAGCTACTGGATACCATCTGACCTCAGTAAACTTTCCAGAAGAAAACAAAGAAACGAGATGGTAGCTATAGTAAGTACAGTCTTTATGTGCTTTCTTTGTTGGTGAATGTTTAGATGCTTACCCTAGATGTGCCATTCTTAACATGCAAACTTTTTGACATGACAAAACTTCAAGAGCATTGAATTCACAAGGTAAGTGCTCTCTATCATTCTCCTTAAAGCTTATGCTTTACGTCATGCAGGAAAATGCAAGTCAATTTTGGTCATGTTTGCTGTTGAGCTGCATCTTGTTACCAAGCACACATACTTCTGCCACCAATTTGCTTTTTGAAACTTTTGTATGACATTGAATTTAGCAGACACAAAACTTTTTATTTGTTCTTTTTTAGATACAACGTCCTATGAGTCCATTCTGAGTTCATCGTCAAGCTCAGGTGGTTCAGAGGAAGGAGGAGAAGCTGTTTTTAGTGATGGAGAGCATGTGGAGTTCGAGGACAATATTAGGGATGATGCTGTTGCTTATATGGTGGAAGAATCGTCATCAGATGGAGATCAAGATGCAGAGAAACTTATTTT